CGTTTTTGTTCTTTTCTTTTTTTTTCAGGAGAAGGCCCCTGCCTCGTTTGCCCGGAGACCTCCCATCTTCAGAAACGGGGCAGGCGCCACTTTCAAGGGGTGCCTGCACAACGTTATGTCCCTACTCGTGGTGGTTCTGTCGTTTTTGTTCTTTTCTTTTTTTTTTAGGAGAAGTTGACTGTCGTTTTTTTTTTTTTTATGCCTGTGTCGTGAGTTTAGCATGTGGAAACACTCAAACCGTCTACGCGTGGATAATATCCAAAGGCCGTTTCGATATTTTCCTTGGGACACCAGCTCCCTCCCCCATAGCCCTGCCAACCCTTTGCCGAAGCCTGGAAGTCGCGGCTAGTTAACGGCCGCGTCAGGAATTTTTGGCTGGGCGAGGTATTGGTGGTTTAACTGCAATCCGGACAGATCATGTTCCAATCCCTCAACATTTTGGGCATCATCCTGAGTAGAGACTGTCCCTGAAATCGCGAGTGTATTCTTGGCAAGGACCACATCCTGTTGTTCAGGTGAGTCGTGAATATCTAACATTGAAAGGCATAAAACATGTTGTTATGGCTGCATGCAGCTGGACTGTCTTATAGGAGGCATAGGAGCAAATATTGCTGTTTGGAACAAAGGAACCGCTAGGGCAGACAAAGGAACAGTTTGCTGATCCCCAGACAAGTGACGATGCCTCGCATGTCGTTGACGATACACAACAAGAGGAGTAGTGTTGTAAACAAAAGATGAACATGTCCCTGACAACGAAGGTGGAAAGATGGGAGCAGTGGTAACTGGAGAGGCTGTTGGCAAGCGAGACCATGGAGGAGATGGGGGTGGCGAGGAGGAAAGCAACCGTCTGTGGTTAAGCACAAATAGAGATGAAATGCGGGTGGATAGGGCAAAATTTTGAAACAAAGGATGTGAGTGTCGGAGGCCCAGTGATGTTCTTTGCGCTGGAGATGCAGTAGAGGAAGTTGTAGCAACAAAATGAGGGTACAAGGAATTCCAAGAGTAGGAACTGCAGCAGCGGACGCCGCAGTAGTGGAAGCCGCAGCATTGGAAACTGCAGCAACAGAAGCCAATGCAGCAGTAATTGCAGCGGTGAAAACTGCAACAGTGGAAACCACAACAGGGAAAACCGCAGATGAGCAAGCAGGAGCAGGATAAGAGCGACGTGGATGCAAGGAAAAAAGTTGATGATGCAAGGACCATCGTAGCATGTATCGGAACCACTGAAAGAGACGCGTCACATGCGTAGGATAACGACGTTGGCAGGAGTGCATGTAGTAGGTCCACCTCGTAGAGGGGATTGGTGAGGAATGCCCACGAGAAAGGATGCAATAAGTACGCGTTGTTGCCGCAGTTTGAAAGTCATGCCAATTGTTACACACTTGTTCCGATCTGGTCAATTGTTAAGTGATCGCAACCACCAGTTGATAGTAAGGGATTTTGGAGATGGCACTTGGATAACGAATAACAGAGAAATCCCAAGCGACTGGTTTATCAAACACGCTCATGTGAAGTGAGCCATCGGAACAGACCCGTAGATACATACATATATATATGATTTTCGTTACAGGTACCTTGAGGGCAGTGGTTGGTGCCCACATTAGGGTATCAGTTCTCGGGACTCGGGAAGTCCTTACGGTTTAACCACAAACGGGGTTAAGGTGAATTATCACTTATAGTGTAATCAATTAGGCGATTCTGCAAACTGGTGATGGTTCAGCCTCCCGATCAGTGAACTCCGACGAAATAGTTTGTCACAGCCCTACCTTTGTTCTC